AATCTTCTTTGCGACCAACCGAGCAACGTTTTCTTTGTAAATATGGCACCATATCTGCGTAAGATAATCGAAATAGATCAGTACTACCTCATTTATATCCAGTGACTTAAATTCCACATGATCTTTAAGCAAATTATGTTAATTCTAAATTTATTACATGTACCGTCTACTTAAACAATCAGAAACTATGCATTTTGCCTACCGAGTGTATTTAAGGGTTTCGTATGAGTCTCTAAATAAAAGGCGATATATCTTTGTAATGGAGACACGATGAGGTAGAAGCCAATTTTTAAATATGTAAATGCACTTCTTACTGCAAAGGGTTCAGAATTAATTTAATTCGAACAGAACTGTGTCGTAACAGATTAAATACGTCGACAGGCTGGCTGTTTTAGTTTGTTGACAACATAACTCGAAGTCATCTCGCTGTGACCATTATCGTGCGATCGTTCGAATATAGTTACGAAATCGATACATATATTCATAGTGTGCCGAGTAAAACTGCGAGGCATTTAGAGCAGAACTTCAAGGTGAAATTCTGACAATTAATTTACAAATTATTTTAAAATAAATGATAAATTATTTCATAAAGATCTGGGACATTATAAATATTTATACAATTTTATTTGCATCTGGTCAAATATAGTCACCAGATATTACATTCGCAAGCACAGGTAAATCCAATGAAGAGAGTAGGAGTTAACTGTAAGGAACTTTCAGGCAGTTTTGTATCTATTTATGTCTAAAATTATAACGTTCTGCGTCATACAAAATGTTTTTACTTCAGTGATAAAATGTAGAAAACATTCTAATTTCACACGAGAATAACTTTGTGTGTTTGCTGTACTTATCCAAATATTTTCCTTAAAATCATGATTCCTATAAGAATGCCAATGCTAGACATATTTTTTGTTACAATGTATTCTGCTATCGAAATTATGAAATTGCGTAATTCCAGAGGCAGAATGCAGCCAGTTCTGTCTGAAATGGGAGAAGGATAGAATTCTTTCAAATACATAACGACTTTTAAAACAAATTTTGAAGATACCTATATGCATATAACTATTTTATTGTATTAAAAATCTGTGACCCGCAAGCCAGAAATTACCATACCGCTGCATCTACAAAACTCGTGTCGTGTAACTACTGCTGTTGAATTAAACGTCTCAGTTTCACAAAAATGGTAAAACATATCGCGAGAAAACAAAATTATTTATCATTTTAGTTGTAATTCGATTCAATGTACAATATAAAAAAAATTGTTTTCTGGATGAAAAAACTTACTTTGAGGGACGAGACTTATAACATTGACTTGTTAAATTCTTGAAGGAAAAAAGCCTTTAAAACGACAACTATACATTGTAGTTTATTACTTCAGAAAACATGACAAACGTAACTTTTAAATATTTCACGATTTTATAAATAAAATATTTTCACGTGAATTTTAATTATAATTTTGAAATATTAATTAAGCATTATTAGTTTTGGTATGTTAATCATCCCAGCATATAGTTTCTTATTTAATAGAATAAAATATCCCCTCAGTCTGATAAGAACCGCGAAGTACTTATCAAACAATAAATTTAATTCTATTTTTAAGGTAATGTATTATTTCCGTTCAAGGAAAACACAAATATAACCTTAAAACCTTGAATACTGTGTAATATCGGATCACTATATAAAATCACATATACGATTATTTTACACTTTAAAACACAACTATATCGTGCCAGATGTGTTTCAACCTTGTGAGGTCATCATCAGTGGCATATTAAAATCAATCCATTAATATACTGAATCCATATAGTCCATGCAACAATGTGTTGTCACAAAGCATTGTGTCTGAAGACGGTGACCTGTTCCTTTACGCCATGTTTTTAATACCACACTTTTGGTACAGGAATCTTTACGGTTTTTTGTGTTTATATGGATTCAGTATATTAACGGATTGATTTTAATATGCCACTGATGATGATCTCACAAGGTTGAAACACATCTGGCACGATATAGTTGTGTTTTAAAGTGTAAAATGATCGTATATGTGATTTTATATAGTGACACATAGTAATCTTTAATAAAAACTATCAAGGGATGGGATCTGGTTTTTTCTGACGTTTATAGTCTGTTAATATCCCAGTTTTGGAGCAATAGATGTTTGCCCATAGCACGAAATTAGTTATACCATTAGGTACTAACTGCGTTCAATTCCATGTGTAAACTCGACACGTAATGGGGTTATCAAATTATCGCTACTCGTGGCTTGGTTTTTCAAAGTGCAGGTGTGTGATGTATTGTTGCAAGTGTGAGCATCTGCTACCACATAGCTATCGCTCTGGCAAAACAATCCCTTCAGCAGAACGTATTCTTAACAATAGGACCTTTATTTAAATACCTCTAATTTTTCTCTCTTCTTGTGTGCCCTGTGTTTAATAATCCAGACCAAACGGATTTTATTTTTATCTAAACCGCCCTCGTACGAATTTCCAGTGGCTTGTAAGAAAACAATGTACCTGGCTTGTGAAAAAGAACTTACTGATAAACTAACCAGGTCTACCTACAGAACACAGATACATGAATCTTACATCTCTTGCCTCCCAAGTTTTATTCTTCCGTCCTTTCTGCATGAAAATGTTATTATTAATTCACACAGGTTACTCGTTGTACACGAGGATTGCGCTCTCACGAATCGCAAAACGTATAATTTTACGTAAAACTGGCGCCAAAATTATTTAATGCTTCGTTTATCATCAACATAGCATTCCGAGACAAGCCTGAAGAAGATTGGCGAAGTTAACAGGGTTTAAAAATTTGGTCGTGGATAGGATATCGACGATCCTCATGAAACTGATAAAACCGCGGATAAGCGAAAACGCGTGTGACGAATCAATTGTACACGCTATCATGCACAAAATGATCAACGTCCACTGTTGTTCTGTCGTGTGGTAACCATGTACGACAGATTACGTGGCCACCAAAAGACGCTGGGGAAAGTCACAACCGCCTACTTTTACTAATTTCAAGCTCACGCTTAAGAAAGAAAAATCATTCTTATATTTTCCCATAAGCACACACACGTGTGGATTTTATTTAAACACGTTTCCACTGCATTTACAATTAGAGAAATGAATGACTTTCACATGTCTCACATAGGGTTTAATGCACAAAGCAGCATATTATTAGACCTACAAGCTGCAACATTCCGCCGCGTCACAAGATCGCGTTAGCGAAAAGATGTATGATGTCACATGTTTCAGTACTTATAACCCGTATTAATGACAGAATAATTCAGAATTTATTTGTAGCAATCGACTAATTTTCATGTGTCAATACGAGGTTAAGTGTCCTGTTTTCATTTTCTTTTGTTTATAAATTTTATCAAAGACGTGTTATGTAACAGATAAGCTATTTCGTTACTACGGTGCAGTTCATTTTAAGAATTTCCGGGAAAAGAACTGGTACTTTAGTTACTTATTTTTAACTTAAAAGCATTGCCAATCTTTAACCACTAAGCACAATAAGTAGGTTTTACGTACGACTTTGTACAAAGTTGTCTAAATTTTGCCGAAAACGATCTTTTCTTGAAATTGCAAAACAATTGTTTGTTTGCACAGTTTATCATGCCAACAAATATTTGTTGTTTGCGCGACAGTGATGCTAGAATAAAGCACGAAACGCATAGAAAACTATGGAGATTACGTGACTGTCTTCAGACTAGGGCGGGGTCTGAATTGCAACGAGTTACATCTTAAAATAAACAAATATCTTTGAGAAAATGTTTGTTTTACATAAGTGGGTAAATTAATAAAAAAAAACCTACATTAAATTTGAAATCATTAAGATATTAAAATTTAAAATACTTATAAAGATTCTGTAATTTAAGAACATTAATTTGTTTGTAGCCACGTGTAACGAATTCTAAAGAAAATGAAGAACTTAAGCAGTAAAATTAAAATCTCTGGTTACGATCAGTACCAGCTGATAGAAAACTTTAACAACTCATTGCTCTGTATGACAGATCATAATGACATATTAGGCTACATTTTTTAAAGAACTATGGGAATACTTTTCACTCATAATGACATATTAGGCTACATTTTTAAAGAACTATGGGAATACTTTTTATCTAAAATTTCAAGTAGAAATTTAACCGACCAACACCATTACATTGCCCAGATTCTTTAGAACTCTGAGACAAATAGCAAAGACATTTGCATCCGACTGTCACAAATACAATACGTAAACGAGATTAAGCAGATGACTGTCTTTCTGAAGTGTTACGCCGTGTAATCTGATTGATCCTTTCCGACGTTGCAGAAGACCTTTCTGCCTATATTACCCAAACTAAACGGCGCTGCATCCAGGAAGACGTCGCCGTCAGAGTCTAAAACCTCGCCATAAACGGCGTTGTTTCTACAAGCAAATTTATACGTAACTGCAACTGGACAGCTTTTTCCCAGGAATAAATCTTATCCTGGATACCGACGCACATAAACATATTTGTTTCAGGGTGTACGGCTTAAGTTTCAATCGTTTCACATTCTTACCCTGAAGTGAAATGGCAATAATTTCTATATTACATCAAGTTAAATGTATTTCAACTACGTTTTAGTCGTGTACATAACTGTTCATTTCTCCTCCATAGGTCTTAGAAGGCAATGAGATACTGCAAAAAATGATTGATTTAACACTGCAGGGAAGACAGGGAAAGTATGGCTTTTTAACTGTTCTGTGAAAGTGAGTTCTATTTCCAATTCATAATCGAGATTTCCGGGCTTGGAACCGGAGACCACCGATTCCACGGCATTTTATCCTCCTAGCTTAAATTTGCCCGACCCACAACTGACACCAAAATTTGAACATCGCAAAATTTAATGCACGAAATTCGTAGAGAGAAGTCGAGGTGGATAGACAGGTCCTAATGTTAGATTCCGTTTCCTTTCTGCTGAAGCGATAACTTTCTCCATCCTGAGTTTGTTCTATAGCTAGAGAAGCCATCATACTCTGTTCTAGAAGTAGGGGCGACGATGCCGTTGGGGGGGCATGGCTGCTCCTTCGGGAAGGCATGGGAGAGAAGGGGCTTCCGAACTCGTGCTGGAGCAGACCACACAGGACTAGAGGGAGAGCTGTGGCTTCTCCCATGCGTATCAAGGTGGCGTTGGTAGATCCGCGTCGAGAAGGCGCTGGTCCTGCATGTAAATCGCTAGTGCTGCCCCCCGTGGTTGCACTGTTGCTGTTCGCTAGCAGGCCAGCTACGCGGCAGGGGAAAGGAAATTAGACAAGTGTGTTCAAAAACATGACGCAGTGTAAGTGTTGGTTCAAGATCAACGCTGATATGTTACATTTCAAAACTCTGGATATATAAACCAAAGATGAAAACGAAACGTTCTGTGGATTAATTTCGGAAATTATTTGCAAACTGCTGTTATCTTACATACTTACACGTAATGTTTTAGCGTTTGCTAGGAAAGCGAACATCCTGTGTTTCGTGACGAAATTCAGACCGCAGTCGAAATTATTCATACGATAAACATTTACAAATGTTATAGTTGTTCAGTTGCGTGCAGGTGTGCGAAACAATGCCCTACATACCCCTTAAAATAAACAATCCTTTTTTGGTAAAACAAATAAACAATGCCCTACATACCCCTTAAAATGGACAATCCTTTTTTGGTAAAAACAAATTGGCAAAACGCTTGATTCTCTGTCGTCCAAGATTAATTACAACATTTATATTCTGATTACATTTATGAATATCGTATCTTACACCATTTACAACACATTTACGTGAAGGTAAATTATTCTGCAGATAAATGAGATACTTTGACAGCACTTGTGAGTTCATTGCGACAAGCTTCATGATCAGACCATTTTAAATCCCAGGATGTCATGGCACCTCTATTTTGGCGTATCTTTATGAGAATAGGAAAATGTGGTTTAACGAGTTATTATAAATAGTAGCACGAACGTTAAGACACAGCACAATGTAACGCTGACAATCGATTCTTCTAAGACTTAGAATCTAAGTGAACCTTAGTTGAAGTAGACCAAGGGTCGGCAACCTGCAGGCCCTTCGCAAATTTATAAACGGCCCGTCACATTATTTGGAAATACGCCAATGCAAGATGAGAAAACATTTTCTTCTGATAAGAACAATGATATAAATATATTACATATTATCTAAGCTTAAAGACAATCGACAAAATATGAAGTTGTAGGCTTATAATGTTGCACAAAGGTACACTGATTCATATAAGTACCGTCTATGTGTAACAACACATTTCTAAATCCAAAAGTTATATTTGATGACTATCGCGAACAGTAAGTATTACCGATTGTTCTGGGTTCATGTATTAATGTCTTATAATCCTATGTTGTTACTGGTAAGGGGTGAAGTAAACATTTGGTCAATGCGAGATAAATAAAGCACACATAACGAAATTATCCATATAAAAAGATTCAAGTGAAAACCTAAGCAGGTTATTCCATGAAGGCGCAATAGTTTCCAATGAGTTAGGTTAGGTTACTGAACAGAAGTACAAAGTTCTCTTCTTCTGCTGAAACATGGTATCTAGTGAGTTCGCCCTCTTTTGTGTAACACCACACAATTATTTGGTGAACTAAGCGGTGATAGACTAAGATTATGAAACACGAGTTTCCAAATATTGCGTTAACAGAAATACAAAAACATGTCATGCAGTTCTTGTCTCAATACTGGGCTATGAAAACGCTTCATGTCGACCACACGAATTCGTTTGGAAGTTTTGGGTCCTAACAACACTGGAATTTTGATTCCTTTTAAAGTAATATTTAAATTACACATTTCCCACTTTCGACGTACTCTTTACATCCTACAATTATTTGAAAAATAATTTTATGTTATAGAAGCATAACGTCATATTAAGTTTGTTGAACTTGGCTGGGGACACAGTGCAATACCCCACATTATAACCTGGAAGATTTAAGTCTTACTTTTAGCGAAGCAGTTTTCAATTATGGTTCAAGTAATTTCACCTAAAACACTGATGATGAATTGTTCGTTTGGTAGGTAACTCGACCATGTAACGGGTTTAAATATCAAGGGTAAATGCTTCATAAAAACCCTGAATTGTTAGAATTTTTGATGTGGTCATCTATATAGTTATAGTAACTCTATCCGTCATACTGCTACATGCATTTTGATAGCCTTTGAAAAAATTTCGAAGAAATTCAGGTATAGTGGTACTATTTACCTTCTTATAATTTCACAAAAAAAAACCCTGGGATGTGTAACTGAAAAGGATTTCCGTTTTATCCATATTTCCATTAAATGTCCTTATAAATAAATGCATATGTGTAACTGAAAAGGATTTCCGTTTTCTCCATATTTCCATTAAATTTCGTTATAAATAAATGCACAATTACCCATAAAAATGTCTAAAAGAAGTTTAACATAATAAATATGTAACACGAACGCAAGAATTTATGTGATGACGTGCCTTGATCGCTACAAATACATTTCAACAACCATTATACTACTTTAAACACCCTACAGGACAAAAGAACCACAAAACTAAATACAAAACGCACCTTTTCATTAACACTTCTTGCATTGCTTTATGGTTTCTCTATATTAATGGACAAGTTTTTGTACTACTTTTTGGGTAATTAGTATGTTTATTCAAATTAGAAAAGTATATTAAACTGGGCACTACAACACCTATTAACCATGCTATATGTTATATTCAGAATCCAAAAATTAAGAAAGTTCACAACAGACGATGCTGGAACCACATTCCAACAGTTATCCATGCCACTAATGATTCTTTAATCGAATGATCGTCTGCAGTGGACTTACCATCCGAGTTTTTCTTGGAGAGCGCTGTCTCAGTGACCGAGTCTTCACTATGACTCGCGTTCAGAGGTCTGTGACTGTTAGCGCCACCTGTGTTACATCAGCGTATGAACAGTGGCGTGCATAGCTAGACTAATATCACTGGCGTGCTTCTGTATCTCTTTGCAAAAAAACTAACCTAGAAATGGCATTCACACCACTAGCATTTACCCCCAGGCTGATGTTATCTTGTTTCAAAAGTATTCTGTAGGTCATTTAAACTTGCTAAATACAAACTCACAACACAAATCAAATCATGTTGATATGCATTAGCACAGGCTGAAAACATTTCAGCACAAAACAATATACGTACATTGTGTATTATGCACGTTGTACTTAACGAAAATAACTTTTACTTTCTTTTGACTCTGATAATTTTAGCTCTGGGGTGGGCAATTACTTTTGTTCAGGGGTGTGTTGGACCTATTTTTAAGTGATTACAGGCCAAAGGGATTCAAAAATCAGCAGCTACTTCATACAATATTAAACAGTTAGAATTGATTAATGCTCAGTGAATGTAAGATACAGATATGTAAAATGACATAAGAAAACATTGGTCTAATAATTAAGTTTGACATAATATCCTGATCTATCACTCTAACAAATTAAATCTGTTAAATTTCCCTGTAGTTTATAAATGGAAATACTATATAGAGTTTAAATTTCTACTTTATAAAGAAATGAAATGTATTGTTAAATTTCTACGTGGACCATTAATCTTTCCCTGGCGCTTTATCTCTGCACTCACCTATAACCTTTCATGGTGTGGTGTTTAAAATAAGTCAGTTTTACCTCTACCTCGTCTCATGTAAATATTGTAATCAACTAAGATCATGGATAAAACTTTGGTTTGTTACAGTTACAAGGATTTTAAAGTGTCTCTGGCTCTTGTACCATTGAGTTTATATTTATAGAGCAGCTTCAGGTTTCAGTTTTAGAACAATCTTTCTGAATGTTCTAGCCATTTATTTGATAGTTTCTTATTATTTTATTTATACCTGTTACTACCAATTCTTTTATAATACCTTCATTATATTTTTGGTTTTGTATCTTGTAACCGTTCTCATCACTTGTTCTTCATTTGATTCATACAAATGCACTGGTATCACTGTTACTCTACAGCATTTTAGAAAGGTTTATTTTTCTAAATTTGACTAGTATTTTGCATTTTATAGTTTCACAGAACTATTTAAATCTGTTTAGTTTTATATTAATATCACCATCTCTTTCAGAGACTATACTACAGGTATAATAATTTCTATAATACAGATAAATAAAATAAATATGTGTATGTATTTAAAATTATTTACAGATGAAAAAAGGGTTGGGAAAGTAATGCAAAGACCATGCAGAATTGACTGATTATGTCTGTCAAAAGAATTGGTTATTTGAGACTGTCCAAAAGATGCTTTTCACATATTTCTTCCTGTGAAGAAACATCTCAAAATGAACTGTCATAACAGATAATTCCAACGGAATACAGATTTAATAAAGAAGGTATGTGCTCATACTCCAGACATCGCAATGCGCTCATTACTGTCGAGTACATTGCCTGCCATGACAGTTTGAGTACACATATCATTGTGAAGCTGAAGAAATGCCATGTCCACGATAGAACATGCTTCAAACTAACTGCGAGTAGAAAAGAAGATCTATATATAATATTTTGTGAAACGAAACTAGTAAGTGTTTCTAAGCGAATTGAATTTGAAACAACGAACATTATAGATTAAGTAAATGCCAATGAAGCTGACACACCATTCATAAAGTGGGCAGGTAGCAGTGTGTTGTGGTGAAGTGCAACACAGGATCTGACTCACTGACCTTCCACTCGGAGGTCACTGAAATATTCATGAAAACCCACACACCTCTCACCCCGGTCTCTTGTGATGCTCATTACAGAGGAAGTTGTAAAAATAATTACATTGGAAAATGAAATGAAGTACATACTGAAAAGTCACTGCAAATAAATATGAACTTACCAGACATTGCATCCTGTTATCACCACTTCTATCCAAGTAATAACCAGCACAAATTTATTATCTTGTTGTGTGAAGCTTACACACAATGAAATTTATATCTGCCATTGCTATTATCAATAAAACATAATAAGTAGCTGTGACAAAGTATGTCTCAAAGGTGTCTTGTACCAGGAAAGGCAAAGTAAAAAATATAATTTAAAGATTAAACATTTTCTGTGCATCAACAAAAAAACATTTGCAGTTGTTTGACTGTAAAATTAAAATGAATTATATTATAGGATTATTTGACAAAAAAAATTGCAAATAAGAGTGGTCTAAACAAGAAACTATCTGAAAGTTAATAGTATACATTAAGGTAGACTCGGTGCATGAAATCTGTGTGAGTTTGCTATGTCAATTATTGAGCACATGGAGAAGTGTTAAGATTCTCACGCTGTACACTCCAAAAACATTATCTTATATCTAATAAACATGATTACCACTTGAAAACAAACAGTATTTTGCGATAAGAAGTACCAGAGGATGAAAGTGCCATGTACAAGTACTGATGCGCTATCTCTTTCTCCAGTTGAGTCACCATCCACACAGAATTCGTGATCCCACTCTTCTAATTCTTACTCCCATGTTTAAAATTATGCTGTCACTGTAGTGTGCAGAAAGCATATTACATGCTCTAAACCATGTAAAATTACAGAAAATATTTAACAGCTTATTTCGAATCCAAGATTTAGACCACTCTTGAACCAGAAGTATGAATATAAGAGGTGTACTTTTGCAAAGTTGTTAAGTTTAAATGGTAATGGATTACATAAAGAAAGTATGATAACATGATGAAACATGAACTATATGATGTCACATCCCTTTCTGATCTTGAGCTCACAGTGTGTGGATTATGATGCTATCTCTCGTTACACCATAACAACCATGAGCTTCAATTTCGTACATCATAAAAACTGTCTTTCAATAGCAATTTTAGTAATCATTTTTGACATGCTACACCACTGTCAGAAAGTGGAAAAGAATAAACAGAGGAAGGAGAAGAACAAGGATCACAGAAGAAAACAGTATACATCAGAAGGAGGGGAAAAGAAGAGCAGAAGAAGAAAAGAGAGAAACAGAAGAATGAGGAGGAAAGGGAGAACAGGATACAAAGAATGAGAAGAAAGAAAGAAAAAGGGGAATGTGCAGAAGGAGATGAATAAGATTATGAAATACGAAGAGAGAAAGTACTTGAACAAACTTGAGGCAAAATAAAGAAGTAGGGGTCGAGAAGAAAATTAGACAGATATTAATATAATACAGTTTATGCCATCTGCATATTGCCATTGTTCAGCATGCATTTACTTTTTTTGCTTGGGGTCTGAAGAGAATACAGTTCTAGCAAATGTGTACATTTACAAAGCTACAAGATCTAATGATGCATTATTGTAAAGAACTAACTGGTTCCATGATAGGCCAATCAGGGAAGTTCTTGACCAGCTAATTAACATTGAATTGTGGAGTTAGTTAGCAGTAGCATCTATTGTTAGTCCACAAAATCACACAGAAAGGAAATATGAGGAAAACATTTTTGTTTATCCAAAGATAATGGATCCTCTCAACAGTGCTAGGAAAAGTAAGGTTAGGGGCTGACTACTATTACCTGAAAGTATAACTTTTCTGATTCTGTAGGCACATTCTGATGAAGACTTTTTTGTATGAAACTCTCCATACTCTGTGGAACCAAGGCCTTCTTGGGAAGACGATAACTGCACAGCTGTTCAAACAATTTCCCATCTTTTATAAAATCCAAAGTCTCGTTACCATATACTGTCACTGATCCATAACATGAGCTACATGAATTCAGTCCACACTATCACATCCTACGTAAGATTAATTTCTAATATCATCCTCCCATCTACACCTAGATTTCCCAAGTGTTTTCTTCCTTTCATGGCCTCTGATTAAAATTTGTATTCATTTCTTGTCTTCTTTGCATGTTTTATGTCCCATCTACTTTTGTTCCTTGGTTTGATTATACTATAATGTGATAAAAATACAAAATCAAGAAACTCCTTGTTATATAATTTTATCTTTCTTTCACCACTTCTAGGTTGAAGCATTCAATGTAACACTGTTCTCAGATACCCTTAATGTATGTTATTCCATTGGGGAGACCAAGTTCCACACCCAAATAAAACAACAGGTAATGTAACTTTATAGCTAATACTGCATTATAACAAACTGGGAAAACTATTTTGCAAAAGTACACCTTTGCCAAACATGTCACTTTAGTGCAATGTGAAATACAAACTTGTCACTAACCTAAGTTCTCGGCTGATGCGTTGAGTTCTGCAAAGCCCCTTGGACCCCCACCACTTCCACTGCCACCTCCCGCTGACCCACTGCCTGCACCCTTAGCAAGTGAGGGTGAGTGTAGTGACGTGCTCTTGTGGCGTCGGATAGTGGGCAACCGGGACACGAATGACGCGTTGTGTTTGAAGCTAGAAGAGACACGACTGAATTCAACGTCAGACACACTGTTCTCCCCGACCTATACATTTCGGTGTAGAAGTTCCCTGTCCTACAAAATTATAATAATATATATGAAAATGCAAGTTAATGTTACTGTAGTGTAACATGAGTGAGATACATATTTGAAGGCTGCCATATCTGAATGTTTTATTTCTTTCTTTCTTCACCAATGACTAATTTAAGCCTTGGTCTTCTCTATTCTAGAAGTTTTCTACATACTTATTCAGAGAAGTGACATGAATTCTTGGAAGTAGGAGCAGACCATTACAAGGTAACTACATTTACAGCATTTAACATGAAAATTAGGGCATATATACATGCAACAATCAAGACATGTATCTATAATCCCATACTCAAGAGGCTTAACTATATGTAAGTGCAGCTACTGGAATATGTCATTAACATTATTGCTTGCATTTACAAAACTGTCAGCTTATTCCAATTCAGATAATTTAATTACTTTAATTGCAGTCAAACAATCGATCTCACTATACAAAGTACAAGAAACATACATATACATATGTTACAAATGCAGGGTATTGATAAAATTACTTCAGGGCTGAAACAGTTTACAGGTATGATTTTATTGAAGATGGGAATGTGAAATAACAGATTTAGCCTTAAGTTATTTTTACAAGTGCTCCTTCTGTAATATGGTAATGTCGTGACAGTGGTCCAGGACTGTACACACTATAATAATGTTTTAATAAATGAGTAATGTCGTAAAGATAATTCATATACACTCTGTACCTGAATATTTCATTATCTTAATTGATGGAATTAAATTACAATAAGGAAGAAATTTTGATAATGTGTTTGTGCTGTTTATATCATGCTCTCCAGTAGTTGCATAGAAAAATACTCTCCTGGAACAGGAATAATGATTTATTGACACTACTAATCTGAAATTAATGTGACTTAATACTGCTTGGTCTGAAGTGTTTTGCATCAAAGTCCATCAATCTGAATATTACAGATTACCACCCAAGTGCAGTGTATATAAAAATATCTTTATTTGTCCCATTTATGAAAAGTAAAGCCTGCCTATAAGAAAAACACAAGAAAATATTATATATAAAAAAGCATGAGTGAACAAAACGTATTCTGAAATGGGAACTTAATTTAGAATTTTGGCATCTTCTGGAAACATTGTGTATTACTTCAAGTAGATAAACTTAAAAATGAACAAGTCATGTTAAAATAAGTGTAAATGTCAACTATTGTAAAATGAAACATTTGTTATTTATGGAAAATTTAAGTACATGTACAGTACTCAGGAGCTTAAAAATTTGTACTCCTCCCCCAGTATTGTCAGGGTCATTAAGTCCAGAAGAATGAGATGGGTGGGTCATGTGGCACGCATGGATGTTGTAAGATGTGTTCACCGGGTATTAGTCAGAAAGCCTGAGGGGAAGAAACCGCACTACGGAGACCTAGACGTAGCTGGGAGAATAATCTCAGGTGGGATCTATCGGAGATAGAAGTTGAAGGAGACTGCATTTTGTCGGCCCAGGACAGGGTTCAGTGGAGGGCTTTGGTTAATTCGGTGATGAACCTTTGGGTTCTGTAAGCCATCTGGTTAGTTAGTTAGATAGTATGTTACCAAGGACTAATCTGTGCATTTCACCTACATCACTAGCTTGTGGATAGAAGGAAAACAAATGCATATATACGTAAACTAAGACATTACCAACACAGGAACAGAGGCATTGTAATGCTGTGGGGAAATAATGTTAATGATGTGGACTGTACATGCTTCCTTATCTGCTATCCCTCCCCCTCTGATCCCCTTGCCATTTACTCACAACAGATTATTGTAATAGATCTTCACAACTGGTAACAAGAGCAACAAATTGATTCATACATAAATATGTCAAAACCTACCTTAGATGGGGTGGGTTTCTATGACTTGTGGAAATATTTCATGCAGTGAGAAGGACAAGATGCAAACATGCACGTAACTACATTACAGAAGCAGTAGAAACTGTGTTAACACGAGGTTGCAGGTATTCAAGGTTAGAAATGTTATACTGGGATACTGGGAACAACCAGTTCATCAAGTGCCTAGGCACTGCAGGTCCCAACTTTTTCGTTGGCTTGATCTATGGACATTTGGTAGGACTCCTTGGACGAGGGATTGGCCCATCCCAAGGCCTCTACCTATATACACGACAGCACAACACAGAAAAACGCGGACAAACATCCATGGCTTGAGTGGGATTCGAACCCACAGTCCCAGCGACCAAGTGGCACAAGGCCAACACCTCAGACCGCGCAGCCACTGTGGACCCCCGAAATGTTATACTGATGAATTAATTTCTTATGTTGAATGTATCCAACACCTTCTCTTCATGTGAATATGGACAAGACTTCTTATGACTTATTCCAGTTTAGGGTCTTATAAACTAAATCAATAGGGAATTTGCATGTACTGTACTTCACTAATAATGTCTTATACATCACAGACTTATAATTAATTTTTGGTATTTCACAGTATGATGTACAATTTGATAAAAAATTATCATTATTTGCTATTCACGTAACATTTTTAATCTAGCTGTAAAATTCAGAATATACAGTTGAAAGCACACACGCTCCAGGCTACTTTAATGAAAGTTAACCCCACTTTTGCTGATAGAGTGTACGGAAAGCTGGTAGAACAGTGTGTGAAAATTGACTGCAGATACTGTAAATTTACCTGTTTCTTAATAAGTATTGATGGATCTAGTATATGAATGGATAAATATTGTTGAAACAATTAAGAACTCATTATGGCTGTAGTTAACTGTTCTCACAGCTGCTCTATTGTTTTCAGACAGAGTAGGAAAAGTCTAACTCAAGATAAATGGTATAAAATTCAAATAATCTTGTTTTACTGATCACTATGTCACTTTCAGCCGCCACTAAGCAAAGCACACAGAGAGGCTAATGGCGGCACTTACATGAGGGATGATGTGTGATGAATCTTCTCGGATGCCTTACTTGTATCATCCGCTTTGGTTCTGCAGGTGGTGTACGAGTAGTGGAATCCATGCAGATTGACAGACAAGGAGACAAGAGAGAAAAAAACACACGGAGAAGAAAACGAAAGAAAGAACAGAGACAAGACATGAAACAATATAATTATGAATAGTGTATCATCTACGGATAAAGTGACAAGAACATCTAAAAAAAATGTGTCTCTTATTGTGAAGAATGGCTATTTTTGGGTGATGTTATCAGCTTCCATTTCTTGGATTTTATGTGCCACAGCTAGATGTAGTACAAAACTGAATAAACATAATGAAAAACAGCCCTAGTCATTTTTATTGCTTTTAATTATAAAGGGGAAATATTTAATATTAAAACACCAGCCTTTCACTGTCAAGCCTGAAATATCTGAAATATGTTAAGTTGCATTCACATGCAAGAAAAAATGTTATTACTGTATTTTAAAATGCAAGCACAATGTGAAGTGAATTATTATCTCAAACACAAAACTAGGTATTTTTACCAACAGAGGTGGTAACAATATGGTACAGATTTGAGGTTTTCATTATGGTGAAATTTTCTATGTTTTTTTCAGGTTGTGATGTTATGTGTACTTTTCAGATCTCTGAAGATGGAGACGGTATGTTTCTCTGAAATGTTGGTATCTACCTATGATACCACAAGGCATCACAATCCATAAGAACATTATTGACAGTCTGGTGGAGATGCTGAACAATACATTTGGAATACAATGACAGTTAAGTAAAGAAAGCAAATGAATTTCATGAGCATAATCATGCAAAATTCAGTTCACATCATATTAAAACACAATGCATTAATTCCAATGCCTGTTACTGAAATTACACCTAGAACTTGTTGGATGTAAGCATGAAGTATATTTATAATAATGTAAATGTACCAAATTTTTACTCTCAGAACATTATTTTAAGCAAGTCTTTATGATGGAAGACTGTTTAGTGATTTGAAATGTCTGCCAGTATCCTTCAAATCAAACCAACTAAAGCCAAAACTATTTTATCTACATGGGTGGGGGGGGAGCAGTCTCAAATATGGTGCACTGTGATACATAGGATGTCTGGCAATGAATTAAAATGATACACAAATGTACATGTTCAAGGTGGGGTTAAAATTTGAGAATATGGCAAGGTGAAGTTGCTAACATTATATTTTAATAGCTATTATGTTGGCCAGTCTGTGAATACATAATGCATGATTTGTAAGATTAAACTGAAACAAAATCAAATGTAATTGATTTCCAAATTTATGTTTTTAAAAATGTGTTTCATTTCTTAAACACTTTTCATCAAGTATATAAACAGTATTCTTAAATTTGAGCGGCTCATAATCATAATCATCGTTATTATTATTGTTCTTGTTGCTAACATTTTTTATCCTGTACTGTTATTTTAGTGCTTGACTGTAATTGGTCTTTGTCAGCTGTTGTCAAGCACAGACATAAAATAATGAATGAATTATTGCTACCGCTACACTACTACTAACTTCTTTCAAAGGCTTCGGTGGAGTGAGGGGGGAAGGAGAGAACAATACACAACTTATAAAGGTCTGAGTACTTAATGACAACCTGTCACCTGAGAATGGCAGAAAATCCAACTTCTTGATCATTACATACACGAAATACACCTAGGATACTGTATAATGCCCAATATAGTTTTGTTTGTATGAGTCAAAACATTGGCATAAATCATGGAGACAAATGTTTTTATTAGTACAGTGTAAGTAGTAAAGTAATAGCGTGTTAATGTTTGAAAAGCAGAACAGGAGTGGAAGTGATAAAACATAAAATAATAACCAGTAATGCAAATAGTGTTAAGCATTAAGGGCAGTCCCCACTTAATGGTACCTGCACCTTGTCGTGGTGGTGGGGCTTGAGTACCTCAGTGACCCCAAGAGCTATGCTGGCGGTAGCACAGCTACTGGTAGGGCCTCCCTAGCCAGATTGGTCGAGGGGGAGAGGTCAGACTAAGACAGGTGCCCTGGTCCTCCAGGTAGGGGGTTGGTCGCAAGGCTAACAACCTTGCACCGTAAAAAGGAAGATGTTTCGAAACCTCGATCAAAGCCTCGGACAGACGGACCTAACAGAGGACTGAATGGAAGAGGAGAATTGAGGAGGCCATGAACCAAATACGGACCAGAGAGCCATAGAAGAAGAAGAAGATTAAGGACAGTCACTATATGTAATCATAAAGACACAGCACATAATTTACATTACACAAATTATTTGTTTATCTCACAAACAATCAGAAACATTGCTCCTCTTTCAAAGTTGAATGAAGAAATGTTATAATGTGTTCTTTGCTTCAGCTACAGCATGAAGAACATCTGAAATGTAGGAACAGCAACCATTTCTTCAAGGGACATGAGCACTAAACTAATCTGCCACAGTCTGTGGTAGGAAGAACAGGTTACTGAATACAATCAAAAGGATGACACAGTTATTTTACAGAAAACCAACACTAAAAGAAGATTTGACCAACAAACCACATGTCAAAATAATAAAATGACAAAAGAATAGAATGAAGAAGAGAAATAACATGAGCTTCTCTTCTGCTCTCCGGTATTCTTATGTAACTGACATTTAGATTCAGTGAACGTACTTTGCTTTTGTCTTGGTTTTCTTAAAATTAATTCTATGAGCCATTCTTTTCTATTTAACATTCTGTCTGACCTGCGACAAATTGTAGAAGATTATTTTACTACTCATATCCTATGACAAAGTGATTTCTCTTCCTATATGATATTCTGTTGTTTGGCTGTTTCTGTGCCTTGAGATGAAGAGCAGCTTTGTCTAAAGGGCCCCAAGGAGTTATGTGATTTCTTTAGTTTTTACCTGAGAGGGGGATTGGGTCATAATTGAAAAGATACACATTTTAGAACTTGTAATTTTATAAGTGCAGTAATTTAAATAACAGACAATGGATATAATACTGGGATACTGGGAACGACCCGTTATTCAAGTGCCTGAGCACTGCGGGTCCCAACTTTTTCATTGGCTTGATCTATGGACATTCGGTAGGCTCCTTGGACGAGGGATCGGCCCGTCCCAAGGCCTCTACCTGTACACAGGACAGCACAACACAGAAAAACGCTGACAAACATCCATGGCTTGAGTGGGATTCGAACCCATGGTCCCAGCGACCAAGTGGCACAAGGCCAATGCCTCAGACCGCGCGGCCACTGCTAATGCATTACTGTAGACATCTGAAGAAAATCTAAATATATGTCGTGTATAATTTTTGGAAACGTTTCATGCAGTCATGCGTCTTGAGATAAACCGTTCTAATTACGATGATCAAACTTATTAAAATTCTGCAAAACAAGAATTTACCTACATGTGATTTTACAGCAGTGGGTAAGCTCTCAATGTTATAATAAAAATCTTTCCTCTCACCATGTGCTATATAGCCTTGATACCAGATTTCCTTGCATTGCCAAATATTAAATATTTATCAGAATGTTAAAATATGTTCAAACTTGTTGTAAGAAAACTCTTGAGTTATCAAATTAACAGTAATTTATAATGATGACAATAAAATAATGAGCATATTTATGGAGTTTCTGCTTCCTCACAGATAAGAAAGCACATGCAACTAAATGTATGTACTACAGTTGGTATAAATGGTGACCCTACAATCCATCGTTCACTTGTTTGGACAAACACACATCCTAGTCTCTTACTGCTCGGACTGTACACTTCTGTAAGCATAAGATCAAATGGAGGCTGTGATACTTACGAGGGTGGGCTAGGTAAGGGCACCTGGTGTATCTTCCATGTTGCGATGGACATGGAGTGCTCGTCAGCTGCATAGCAGCGCCACAAGCTCTGGATCAGGGTGGCTGCTGGCTGCCGTCTTCTTATCATGTGTTTCTGTCTTTGTTGTTGCTGCACTTTGAGAGCAAAACCTGAGCCTAGGATGCCCTGAAATAGACAAAGGATATCTAAATCTATGCCACCTTGTAAAAAGATCCAGGCATCCTGAAATAGTTCTATAAATGATAAAGTCGCGCTGTGATTTCTATTTACAACCACTTAACCTTTTAAGTACCAGGCTTTTATATCCCCATATTCCCTGCTGGCCCAATTTAAATCCAATAGTTATGTTATACTGTGCATGTTTTTTGATAAAACAATGTATCTTTCTTAAAAACTCGCGAACAATAAATTACACATAGCTCAGAAGAGTTTACTCTACCACTTGAAACTCTTTCTCAAGGTGTTGCTCTGAAAGACTACTTCTAATTGGAAGGAATATCACACGTGTTTACATTTTCTATTATCACTAGATTCATGTTTTGCTTGGTACAGTTTCTAATACATGGAAATGCATAGTAAACACCAGAGGCTTCACAACAGTATACACTAAGTGCTTAGTGTTTCGAGTGTTTTCTCTAGATGGGAAAACTGGAATGGTTTTGGGCTTGGTTATTTTCTGCCTCATTGTTTTCCCTTTGATGATCACTAATTTAACTCTGCCATGAGCTAATTATGACTTACCGCTGGGAGAGCAAAAAACGATATACCAAGCAGTGCGCAGAAGGAGGCGATCACTTTTCCCTGCCATGTTTCAGGCACAGCATCACCATAACCCACTGTGCAAAGCGTTATCTGAAACAGAACGTCACCATCTCTCTAGACTTCTGTAAGAATTTAGGAGCACCGAGGTGCTATATCTGAGACTATTTATGCTGTTAAAATTTCCTGCATAAGATCTCCAGTCTCCAAAATAGACAATCATTTCAACACAACACAGTCACCGATAAACAGTTTTGCACTGGAACTAACATCAACACAAAACTTTAATCTTACCACTCCCCACCAGAGGGCATCAGCAAAGTTGGAAAATTTTTCATTAGTGTCCTTCTCTGCTAGATATACAAGGAATGAAGCGAAGATTAGGCCCAGGAATCCGATGTAAAGTGTTGTGATGAGCTCCTGCAACAGAAAGCAACATAACCTCACTCACAGAAATGTATTTATCATCATCTTGGAAACTTGTAAATGTTTTTGTATCAATAAGTTAATTGTTCTATTTGGATTGTCCCTTTACATTATATCTGTGGTTAATGTTAGGTAGACACCCCTCACTAACAAATATACATAATCTTTCTGTCTACTTTGTTTTCTTACACTGTCTTCCTGGTGGTACCCAGTGCACGACACAAGGTAAAATAATGCATAAAGAGATCTATTCGTTATTTGCAATATTTATCACCATGTGATATGTTGGAGGTAAACAACAGAAAGAAACGAGTGATGTAAGAGTAAGAAAATCAGTGTTTGTTTATAGCAATGCACTAACTTTTCTGTATGAGTTAAGAAGTTAAATTTGCAACATTGTAAAATATATGAGTCAAACGGGCAAACATAAGTCAGAAAACAAGAAATAACGCGCAGGTTTAAACATTCCTGCACAACCTAACCTAAGTGAATAACCATTTAAGTGGTTTCAGGTTCGAACAGCGGGTCACACGTACCTGTCTGTGAGCGTACACGACAGAACCCAGCAACTTCCAGGTGCCGCCTCGGCGATCCATGCGGACCATGCGCAGGATCTGGAAGAAGCGAAGTCCACGGAGGGCTGAGGCTGCGAACACCTGACCGCTGGAGCCCATACTTAGCACCACGAGAGAGGCAAATATGGTGCTCACATCTGTATGAAAAAAACAGTGATTTGCGAAATAGATGCGAATAAACTAGCACAAAAACACAACGAAAGTTAACTGATCAAGGAAGCTGATATGAGATGGACTCCATCATTAAAACTAGCGAATAACAGCAGCATGTGAGAGGTAAACTCTGCGAAACAAAATTCAAGCACTTGAAATATAATACTCCCAAACCGGAGGTGGTGAGAGCGTACAAGTCGCGTCATTATTCCAGTCACTCGTAATCTCGTATCTCTCTGCAAGAGGCTTTTTTCTATCACCCATTAATTAAAATTATCTATGCTAGATGTCTACTGAACATACATAAATATGTAGCATTTGAGGTTTTCATGGCGGTGAGTCTGAAGATGGCTGTGGTTGTTGCGCCGTGTGGTCTGGTAGAAGTTTACCTAACTTTCAGAGGTCCTTGCTGCCTCCATCATCAGCGCGATAATGATGGAGGCAGCAAGGGCCTCTGAAACGTCGGCAAACTTCTACCAGACTACACGGCGCAAAAACCCAGAAGACAGACATCTTCAAAAGTTAATGATTATAAATTTGCCTTTGCCACTTGTGGTATAACGTCCATACCAAATTTAAATGAAATCGTTAAGTGTATTATCTAGTTATTAATGCGTAGACTGATATCACATGTGAAAGATCAGTTAAGTTACATTTGGTTAATTTTTAGCTTGTCCAGCTACGTGTATATGCATCATTTCTTTTTGTTCTATATAGTTAATGTAGATATTATGGTAACATATTTCAGCCTGAAATGGCTGGATCTTCATGTTACACATATTCCGACATTGAAGTTTAAAAGAGTTTATAGATTTCTTAGATATTTAGTAATTATTGCGAATGACCAGTGCTTAGCACTGAAGCAATTTCCGATAAAAAAAATCGGCAGATCCATAAACGTTAAAGCACAATATAGCATAACAGAATTATGCTATTTAGAAGATTTCAAGCACGTGACTTCTTTTGTGTCCTCACGCCTGCAAGAGCAAACCAGCAATTATTTTACATAAGATACAGGGAAATGTCAACACATATTTGTATATTAGAATTCAAATAAGGAATGAAGAATGTGGTAAGGCAAAGGATAAACAGAAGTTGGGTTAAGGAATGTAAGTAGTATGAAACGTACTTGATGCAGAAGGGCATGTGTGAAATTAATGCAAGGAATCTAAAGAAACTTTTTTCTATCACCCATTAATTAAAATTATCTATGCTAGATGTCTACTGAACATACATAAATATGTAGCATTTGAGGTTTTCATGGCGGTGAGTCTGAAGATGGCTGTGGTTGTTGCGCCGTGTGGTCTGGTAGAAGTTTACCTAACTTTCAGAGGTCCTTGCTGCCTCCATCATCAGCGCGATAATGATGGAGGCAGCAAGGGCCTCTGAAACGTCGGCAAACTTCTACCAGACTACACGGCGCAAAAACCCAGAAGACAGACATCTTCAAAAGTTAATGATTATAAATTTGCCTTTGCCACTTGTGGTATAACGTCCATACCAAATTTAAATGAAATCGTTAAGTGTATTATCTAGTTATTAATGCGTAGACTGATATCACATGTGAAAGATCAGTTAAGTTACATTTGGTTAATTTTTAGCTTGTCCAGCTACGTGTATATGCATCATTTCTTTTTGTTCTATATAGTTAATGTAGATATTATGGTAACATATTTCAGCCTGAAATGGCTGGATCTTCATGTTACACATATTCCGACATTGAAGTTTAAAAGAGTTTATAGATTTCTTAGATATTTAGTAATTATTGCGAATGACCAGTGCTTAGCACTGAAGCAATTTCCGATAAAAAAAATCGGCAGATCCATAAACGTTAAAGCACAATATAGCATAACAGAATTATGCTATTTAGAAGATTTCAAGCACGTGACTTCTTTTGTGTCCTCACGCCTGCAAGAGCAAACCAGCAATTATTTTACATAAGATACAGGGAAATGTCAACACATATTTGTATATTAGAATTCAAATAAGGAATGAAGAATGTGGTAAGGCAAAGGATAAACAGAAGTTGGGTTAAGGAATGTAAGTAGTATGAAACGTACTTGATGCAGAAGGGCATGTGTGAAATTAATGCAAGGAATCTAAAGAAATGTATTTGTCATAATACTTTGGTACTTACCTATAATACAGAAAGGCCTCCTCAGGAACTTAAATCGGCCAATGGCCCCTTGATACCTCGATCTACATCCTGACGACCAGAGCCTAAAACATAATAAGTACGTATTCATTAAGAAATACATATTAACTACAACTACGTATTTCCGATGTATTAATAAAAATAAAATATACCATTTAAAACTTATGCAAAAGCTTGTTTTACGAAATGTATATTGATATAAATTTAGTCGGCGACTTATGAGATTTTCTTTTTGATGCTAGTAGGGGAGAAGGGGGCTAGTTGTTACACGGGCAAGTTGTTATATTTTAGTTTAAAAATCACTCTGCAGCAGCATCTCACGAGCCCCGTATCTATTGAGTCTCCCCTGTGCGCAGTTCTAACCAAGGTATGGTACTTGTAGCTTGTGTATTACGTGAGCTAGGTTGATTTAACTCAAACAAAACCTAACCTAACCTAACCTAACGTAACCTAAACTAAACCAACCAAAACCAACCTAAACTAACCGAACATATCCTTCTAAAGTAGCCCCATCTTTTGGAATGTAATTTCCCTGACTTTTGAATGAAATTTATCTATAAATGGCTTCAAACTAACATGATTATGGTCACACAGTTTAATAAAGTTAGATAGATATAAGACTGAGAAAAATTGTTCTTGAACTGAACTTCGAAAATTTAAAGGCATATATTCCTTAAAACCTTGAACTTTTTTTCTTATGACCTTGAGGTGATGTTGAACTATCCATGACCTCAAACTGACAAGATTATAGTCATTAGGTTTCCTACAGAAAGGGAGAAATATGCGTTTGAAAAGAATACTTTTGAATGACCTTGAAAATTTTAAAGGACTCTCTCCCGAAAACCCCTGGACTTATATTGTCGTGACTATAATACGATGACGGCCTGGCCGTGACCTCAAACTGACATGAGTATTATCACTCAGACTCCTACAGATTGGCAGAAACATGCGCTTGAAAAATAACCTTCGAATGACCTTGAGAAATTTAAAAGTCTCTATTCTGAAAACCCACGGTCTGATCTTGTCATGACTATGACGTGACGATGACCTGTCCGTGACCTCAAACTGACATGAGTATTGTCACTCAGACTCCTACAGATCGGCAGAAATATGCGCTTGAAAAATAACCTTCGAATGACCTTGAAAAATTTAAAAGTCTCTATTCTGAAAACCCACGGTCTGATCTTGTCATGACTATGACGTGACGATGACCTGTCCGTGACCTCAAACTGACATGAGTATTGTCACTCAGACTCCTACAGATCGGCAGAAATATGCGCTTGAAAAATAACCTTCGAATGACCTTGAAAAATTTAAAAGTCTCTATTCTGAAAACCCACGGTCTGATCTTGTCATGACTATGACGTGACGATGACCTGTCCGTGACCTCAAACTGACATGAGTATTGTCACTCAGACTCCTACAGATCGGCAGAAATATGCGCTTGAAAAATAACCTTCGAATGACCTTGAAAAATTTAAAAGTCTCTATTCTGAAAACCCACGGTCTGATCTTGTCGTGACTATGACATGACGTTGACCTGTCCGTGACCTCAAACTGACATGAGTATTATCACTCAGACTCCTACAGATCGGCAAATATGTGTACTTGAAAAAGTGGAATTTGAATGACCTTGAGAAACTTAAATGCCTCTATTCGAAAAACCCAGGGACTGATACTCTCTTGAGTACAACATGACGGTGACCTCAAACGGACATAAATATGGTCACTTATAGTTATTGAAGTTAAGGCCACTGTACCTAATTAACTGATAGACAGAGACACTCAGTGAGTCAATGACCTCATTCGTTATTTCAGGAGACGCCAGTAAATCTGCTGCCTAATGAACCCATGTCTCTGATATCGTAGTGCTGAGGTAACTTCAGTCACTGAAATTTATGATTTCAAAAATAATTGAAGTTTCCTCTTCTCTGGTTGGAATCCCTCAGAGGCGATTCATGAACAACAAACACAAAGTAATAATGGCAAATTGTTGGAAAATGATTACTATATTATTGTTCACCAGTGCAAGATTCTCAACTTAATGTCTCTTGCCTACCAGCCAGCGGTTTCTCCCTAAGACCTATTATATAATAAACGTTCCTGAATTTTAAACTAATAAAGTTACTGAACACCGATACTTATTCATTTCACACAGCACTTTAGGCCCATATGTAACTTAATGGACTAGATATTTCTGAAGAAGCTAATAACAACTCAGTTGATCATTAAATTTCCGAACTTTGTGTAACGTCTATGTCTATAACCACTTTCACAAGTTGCTTCTCCCCTACGTTTAATATTCAACTGTGTTAAAGAATGCATGAGCTCTTAAATTTAAAACATCGGAAATTGTGAAAGCGTGAGCTCGAATAGTTAAAAGTTGGAGGACATATTGAAAACTTCTGATTCATGTTCTTGTGGAAAAAGAAACGGTCCATACAGAATTCGTTTCCAGCGAGATCTGTTTCCTTTCTCAGATGCGTAAAATATTCCGATCATCACAGAAATAATAAAAAAAAGAAATAAACAGAAGGAAGTTTATGAATTTTAGTATATATTTTAAATTCTAATTTCGAAATGCATTTTTTTGATAAAATTAGTGGTAAAAGACACAAGAACAACTAATAAAATCAAATATATGCCATGTCTCAAATAATAATAGTACACATATTGGCCAATAGGGTATGACGTAAACGAAAGTCAAGCGCAGGGGTTGGATGATCCGGTCCTAGGCCTAATTCTTTCAGTTGGAATCGGGACGTCTTCTTGTGCGGGTCTGTGGTAATGAAAGTGTAAGTTGCAGTAAAATTATGTTTTTGCAAAATGGTGGTTTCATCAATTTATTAATTTTGAAGGAAGTATTTAAACGTTAATTTGTTAGGATTCTTAATTTTGCGAATATTTATAGCAGCGATAATATTTAACAGTAGAAGAGAATTTTTAAAAAAATAATTAAAGCAATAAATTTGTATTCGCTAATTCAGTACAACCGACTGAGTATTGGAAGTTAAGAATAATTGCGTTGTATAAAACGGTAGAATTCCTACACAGAGTTTAATTAATATAATAATTTTAAAATCAACTTAACCGTAGTATTTTCGTAAAGTAGTTCAGACCAGTCTAATAAGGAAACGTTTTCTAAATACTGACTAAACTGATTAAATTATGTTGTAAATAATAACCGTTCGCAGCTCAAATTCTCTAATTCAGCGTATATCAGCGGATTATTATGGCGTACTGTAGAATGCAATATAAGAATTATCCGGAACAGATAATTGGGCAATTACAAAGTTCCTCGAAAAAACTATTTCACTACAATCGTAAGATTTACAGTCAAATTATCATTGCAGTAGGAAATGATTCGATATACTACGCTGAGGTTCAGACTGCACTAGGTACAAACATTTCGTCAAATACCTCAGAAGAACTCATTCGTAAAACGTGTACGATTCACATTTGACAGAACTGGGATGGAAACTAGGAGCTTCTACGCAAAACGTAAAGCTTTCGGGACACGTCGACTAGTAAAATGCAGTTTTATTGCATCCAAAATCCAGAACCTTGAACGAAAACTTTACAGATTTAACTAGGTTTATTAAGAAAAATGAATGTAGCTAATTCGTGTGATATGATCCCGTTTAAATTATATCCGAAACAAAGTAACGCAAACTTTGTTCACCACAAAAAATTGAATTCCTTTCTATTTTAAAAGGTAAACATTACTAGTTATACGTTTTTTAACAGAAAATAGAAATGGCTAGTTTGTACTTTAACAACCACGATATTTCGCATCTAAATCTGAAGTATTTAAGAACGTGCCTTTGTAAGGAGTATTTGACGTTTCCTTCAAAGAGTCAGAACAGATCCTAGCAGAAATGGCGTTGCGTGCCTATACAGCAGTTGATAAAATGGAGCACATACATTTTTGAAGAAATGAGGTAAATTTTAGATAAGCATTCTACATTGAATAATCTTTTAAAATGTATAATAAATGTAAGGACGATGGACCAAAAATTTAAATGTAACATGTCGACGTATATTGAATTTGGGCAATCTGTACGAAGAATGTGACGAAATTCTTGAACAAAAATTTCAGCTTGGTGTCCAGCCTCTGTATGTGAGGGTGGAGTTTGAAATTTGCCAAAAGAAGTAGGACAATGGAGACTAAATTGATTCAGAATGGAATTCGGTGACTGGAGGCATACCGAATGAACCGTACAGTTTATAAATGTGTTCTGCGCTATACGGAAATTAAATGAAAAACAAATTGGCTATTTTGTTTGTACTGTGTTCTTCATATATAGGTGACACAAGGTTTGGGTACTAACATTTTATATACTAATATATTCTTAGGCTTCCTCATTGTGTGTTTGTGTAAATATGAATGGGTGAAATGGGAATGAATGGACAATTGAATGGTAGTTACATGAATTTGGGAATGGGACATAATTTCCATTACACAATGCATGGCCGGCAAAAACTACTCAGATGCGGTACACAGCACAAGCAATTGCCACAATAGCTCTGATATTCCGAATTCATACTCGGGCCTCCACAAAAGTTGGGGCATAAAGGAAACGCAAAGAAATTAGCGGACAACGTTGTGACTAGATTTTTATACAACCCCAGTCAATACATTCTTGCGTTCTACCTTCACGAAGGAAGGGATAATAATTGGGATATTCATATTTCCTATGACATAGGCAAAAGATTTGGTACCGAAAAATGCTATATTTTAAACCATCCTTAATTATATAATTTATGTACGGAGTTATAAGTTTATTGGTATCTTCGGGTAACTTTCAAAGGAAAACCAAATTAGTTGTAATTAGCTATCATTTCAGTCAAAAAAAGTTGCTATATGGGCATGCAGTTTCCTAACTGCTGGAATAATAACCAGAATTTTACTTGGCATTAGCGTTTAAAAGAAACTGCCTTACGGCCTGAAACCACGTCACAAAAATTGCAAAAATACGTAATAGCGATTTCCTTGTGAAATATTCGTTATAAAATTTTCGCTGAATTTTAAATACAATTCTTTTCTAATAACATGCGACGTGTCCCGAGTATGCAGTCTTTTTTAAACCTCGCGTATATAGGAGAGTCCGTTAAGTTGTTTTTCCATCCAGGCCTGAACATAACTGCACATTTTAAAAACCTTGCCGAAAGTTCGGTATTCTTTAAGCTTATGGAGTAGGGTATTGTGGGTCGATAAAAGTAACTGGCAGTATTTCACTATTTTACGCTCACTATAAATGATACTTCTACAACATTCAATCGAAATTGATTAATTTAATTTCAGACAGAAAACACCCCGTACTCAAACGACCAATAACAAAGTAAGACGTTTATATGTATATATTAGAACATGTAGCTTTCACGTTCTTCGAGATTGGTTTAATTAGTGCAAAACTTTTCGAACAAATGCTTATTTGATAATAAAAAAATCATACATCTAGTGCTTTAAAATCTTTGATAGATGCGTAAGAAAATTTGGCGAGAAAAGTTTAAATTCCATATTAGATTTATGAGTAGTACACATACGTGGTGAATCGGTCGAGAAGTCTTCAATCGTACTGAAATAAAATTTCTTACGTCGCGAGTTATAAAATTTACCTAGGCTACGAAAATTGTTTCATTAATAACGTATTCAGAGCGGAAATTTATTCACTGTCGAGACAATGTAATGATTGAAAAAATAGTGTTTGAAAGAAATCTATTCTCTCCCTTTTAAATTTTTATTATACACATCGAAGTAAAGTGATCAGTTCAGAGTATGAAATATGTAGCCAACGAATGTGCTAAGAATGTAAATCAGCTTTAGTCAGTGCCCCCATGTGCATCAATATCCCCCCCTGCATCAGCAAACTACAGGCTTCAGTAACTGCAAATCATCCGCTGCTGAGCGACAGGATCAAAGTCACGGGAAAAAGTTAAGTGGTTATTGCAGTCTCCCCGTTGCTTACCACTCAGTAAGGGTCGCTGGCTGAATCATTTAGAAATGCAAAAACTACATCTGTCTTAGAGTCGTAGGGTTTTGTAGTATGTAAGCGTTAAGTGGGCAGCCTGTATTTCAAGAGACATCACTACATAATTAAGGAAGTGCTTTTTGTGTCATCGTGTATTGCCCCCCAACCCAAACAGTGTTAGGTACACGAAGTGTTAGGTTGTTAGGTGTATTTAGATATAGTACCGTGCCAATGTACTGGGCCACATTGGTAGATTAGTGTGTCCGCAGGCTGCAGAAAGCTTAACACCCCGTGGTTCAGCCAGTGTCCGAGGGAAGCAACACACACGGAGAGGTCACTCAGAGACACATCAAATTATTCGAGAAGCTTTTGGTCATTTTGTTGTTGATGCAGGCTACGTTCTCGTACAGAACTCTGTCGTTATTTGAGCGAATTTTCACAGCTAAAGTTGCGCTCTACATCGGCTTTAAATGATTAAATATTAATGTTCGGATTTGGTATATATGAAGTTGATACGACTTAATAAGAAATCGGATAAGCGCTTCGTTCAGAAG